TTTTTCAAACTGTATGATGAGAAAATAATCAGAGAAGCAGGGTATTATGAAGAAGAACATGATATCAGAATTGAAGAAATACTCATTAACAACCTGTGATTTGCAGATGATGCAACCTTGCATGCTAGAAACAAAGAGGGCTTGAAATACCTACTGATGAAGATCAAAGACGATAGCCTTCAGTATGAATTGGTATGCAATATAATGAAAACAAAAATCCTCACAACTGCATGAATTATTAGGCCACAGGACTGTGAGATCCTTTTTATATGTGATTTATTCATTACTAACATTTAGAGGAGGAGTACTCATGTGGCACTGTTGGTTAATGCGCTGCACTGTAATGTCGGCTTTGACCACAAGGTGGGCCGTTCTAGCTCACCAGCCACTCCTTGGAAACCCCATACAGTGTCGTTATGAGTCGAAACCAACTCGATGGCACATAACAACAACAACAAAATGAAGAGGAAGAAATAGAAGGTCAGAGAAGTAAACTAATTTCCAAGATTAAAGTACTATTTAAGATTGAAGCCCCCCACCCCCCGAATAAAATATTGGAGCCAGACTTATATTAAAGTATTTTTATTTTTTAAATCTGAATTGTACATTTTTTTTTTTGTTAATTTCATATGTGAATCACACTTGTAGACCACATTATACTTCTATTGGACAGTACTGCTATAACCATGATGGTGTGAGGATATGGGGGCTAAGACACTTGCAACTATTTTTTTATGAACCAGAGGATGATATCTAAAAGATGTAAAGAATATGGGTCAATGGTACATTGAAGAGTCAGGGAATTAGCTCACACTAGTCCTAGACCTTTTATAACGATAATAAAATTCATAGCTGTTTATTCAAGTTTTAGTCAAAATTTTGTTTTTGAAATGAAACTATTCCTTAAAAATATAATATGGATCATATAAAATCATATAGGCAGATGTGAGATTTATTTTTTTCTTTTAAGTGTAATGCAAGGAGATGGTCATAGTTTCTTTTTTTTTTGGAGGATAATATGATCTGACGTATACTGAAGTCGTAAAGAATGTTGTTGTTCAACCCTGTGTAGGGTTTCCAAGGAGCAGCTGGTGAATTTGAACAACCAAAAGTACAATCAGAATGGTTAGCAATTCAGTGCTTATCCTACAGAGGTTATTAACTTATTTTATGATGACTAAGTATCTCTTTGTCAACTGTAGTGTCAACTGTAGTGGCTTGCAAGTTAATATGATGCTGGAAAGTATGCCACCAGTATTTTGATTACCACCATTGTCATACAGGGTAGCAAGATTTCAGCGGAGCTTCCAGACTAAGACAGACTTGGAAAAAGGAGAGGCAGACTGCTTCTGAGTAGTTAGCCACTGAAAACTTAAAGAGTAGTAGTGGAACATTGTCAGACACAATGCTAGAAGATGAAAATGGTATGAATAGCACCAACAGATTGCCATATATAGTGTTGGAAGTTGAGCCCCTCATTTTGCACATTACTCTAAACACAACTGAGAAAGAGCTACATCCTCGAAGCAGAGTTCACCATGATGATGTAAATGACATACAGCTTTCAGGACCTTCATTTGCTGATGGGCAAAACTCAAAATGAGGAGAAAGAGCTGCAAATATCCAATAACAATCCAGATTTAGAATGCATAGAGTAGGAATCTAGGAAAACTGGAAGTTGTCAAAATGAAATGGAATGTATAAAGAGATATCCTAGGTATTAGTGAGTTGAAATGAACTTGTATTGGCCATTTTGAATCAGACAATCAGATGTTTTACTATGCCAGTAATGACAAATTCAAGAGTTATAGCATTATTTATCTTCAAAAAGAACATTACAAGATATATTTTAGCGTACAAGGAGCCTTGGTAGCCTAGTGGAGCTGGGCTGGTAACCATAAAGCCAGGAGTTTGTATCTACCGATTGCTCAGAGGCAGAAATATGATGCTTTATGCTCCTGTAAAGATTTACAGCCTTAGAAACCCTATACAGGGTCACTATGGGTCAGAACCAACTTGACAGCACTTCATAACAATAACAACAGCACTTTTATTGATTTAGAGATAAGATGTTGTTGCTATTGTTGTTAGGTGTTATCAAGTAGTTACCATCTCTAGCAACCCTATGCACAACAGAAAGAATCACTGTCTGGTCCTGGGCCAACCACAAAACGGTTGCGAGGCCTGAACGCATTACAGCTGACACTGTGCTAATCCATCTAGTTGAGGGTCTCCCTCATTTATCTCTGACCTTCCATTTTACCAAACAACATATCCTTTTCTAGGGCTTGTCCCTCCTGATAATATGTTTGAAGTATGAGAGACAAAGTCTGGTCATCTTGGCTTCCAAGAGGCTGTAATTCTTCCAACACTGATGTGTTTGTTCTTTTGGCAGTCCATGGCACTTCCAATAGTCTCCTCCAACAACATATCTCAAATGTATTGATTTGTCTATGGTCTTCCTTATTCACTGTCCGAATTTTGCATGCTTTAGAACTTACTGAAAGTACCATGGCTTGGGTCAGGCGCCCCTTAGTCCTCAAACTGACATCTTTGCTCTTCAACATTAAAGAAGTCTTGTGCAGCAGATTTGCCTAGTGCAATATGCCGTATGATTTCTTGACAGCTGCTTCCATGAATGTTGATGGTTGATTCAAGCAAAAGATTTTAAAAAAACTTTAATCTTATTTCCATTTATCTTCATGTTATTTACTGGTTCAGTGGTGAGGATTATTTTTTTCTTTACATGGAGATGCAACCGATACCAAAGGCTGTGGTCTGAGATCTTCATCATTAAGTATTTTAAGTCCTCTTCACGTTCAGCAAGGATATTCTTGTTCCACATCCTCTTCTGAATCTGAGTTGGACCTCTGGACGTTCTCTGTCAATGTATGGTTGCAGTCATTTTTCTATTATTTTTAATAAAACTTTACTCACATGGGATATACTGTCCCATGATTTCCCCATTCCGTTAATCACTTCTCCTTGGAATGGGCGCATGGATCTCTTCCTGTCAGTAAACCAGGAGTCAGTTGTCTTCCACATTTCTTGGCATAGTTGAGTGAGTGCCTCCAGTGCCGCATCAGTTTATTGAAATATTTTAATTTCTATTCCATCTACTCCTTGTGCCTTGTTCTTTGTTAATGTTTTCAGTGTACCTTGGACTTCTTCCTTCAATACCTCCTGAAATTGTTGAACATTGACCATTTCTTTTTGTTACAGTGACTGTGTATTCCTCCCATCTTCTTTTGATGCTTTCTGCATCATTCAATATTTTGCCCATAGAATCCTTCAATACCACACGTTGTGGCTTGAATTTTTTCTTCAGTTCCCTCAGCTTGAGAAATGCTGAGTATATTCTTTTGGTTTTCCAACTCCAGGTCTTTGTACATTTTGTTATGATATTTGACTTTGTCTTCCTTAAGTGACCTTTGAAATTTCCACTCTTGTACCTTCTCAGATAGGGGGCCAAAATTTCTTGTTTGGAATTTACACATATTTAGATCCCATAAAGGGTAATCTCATTACCCTACCAGGACAGGTTAGTTCTACTTCTTTGCTACCACAGGCAATGATGCCTATTATTCAAAAGATGCCAGAAAGGCATATCTTTTCAAACACATATTGGTGTTCTACGAAATAGGTAATGCTCAATAGAACAGTATCATGGGCTATGGCTCAGTAGGATAATATACTGGATCACAAGGTCAGTTAGAACTGCAAGGTCAGTGGTTAAAACTCACCAGCTGCTCCTCAGAAACCCTATACATGATGAATCAGAACCAACTCAAAGACACTTAAGAGTTCTTAGAACTAACCCAACTGACAATAGTCGTGATTCATTTTTTTGTTTTTTATTTTTTTTCAAGAATAACTAATGGATATCTGCACATATGTCTTGATGCACCTGTTTGAGAATATTTCAAGGGTAAAATTCTGATTCAAAGGAGAAATGCAGACTTAATTTTAATGAATACTACAAAATTGCCTTCTAAAATTGACTGCACTTATTAATATTTCTTGGGAGCAAATTAGTTAATTATCATTATTATTTTCCCTGGCTTTTGTATTATGAGTTATGTATTGTCCTAAATATTCCATTATAGCAACATGCTAATCTATGATTTCTCCAAAAACATTGTTTATTTACAGATAGCTAGTTGATTAACTAAATTCCAACCAGCTTTGGGTTAAAAAAAAAAAAAAAAAAAAAAGATTAGTGAAAACTTATGAAGTCCCAATTCTGAGAGTCTTCCTGAATTAATGTTCTAGTATAATTTATTCAACTTACTAAATAAAGAAAACTGAAATATTTTTTCTGTTGTATATTAAGCTAAGGTACTGTTGTTGTTTTTAAGTGCTGTTGAGTTGGTTCCAACTCATAGGGACCCTTATAGTGTTTCCTGGGAGTGGCTGAGGAGTTTAAACTGCTGACCTTACAGTTCAAACTGACCTTTTAGTCCAGTACTTATCCTACAGTTTCACATCAAGATACCAAAACTAGGGTAGGTAAAGAAACTTGGAGTTCCTTTAGGACAATAAAAGGGTAATGTGCTTTTTATATATTAAAAACCTTTTATTTTATCTTTTTCATCTAAATTTACATACTCAGAAATAATTAAATCTATTGACAAATATTGTTATAGAACATATATCTGCTAAACATTCATGAAAATACTATATCTAATTTATATGTCACAAATATTTCATTCACTTAAGATCACCTGTTTTAATTATATCTCAGTTATACACACATATTTAATAACTAATTTATATTCATAACCAGAATTGCTAAAACTTATATAAATTTGAATAGAGGCTATATTAATATAACAAATCAGCATCAACATAATTTTACATTCATTATAATATTTAAATAGGTGTTATGCAAATTACATTTTATAACATATAAGAAGTTAATGAAATGGTGAAACTATAAGTTCAATGAAACTTGAATCCAGATGTTAATTCCCTTGGACAACAAGTATCCATGGTGATCTTCATGACCAGTAGATTTCTATTGGCAGATCCAGAGAAACATTATTCACTGTTAGATCAATATTCAATATCTAAAAAAAAAAAAAAAAAAAAAAGAACGCAAAGTTACTGGTTTCATCAGAATCATATTTCTTTAATGAAGACTTTCTCCATAGGCAAATATTCTTTAAATAAACCTTGCTTATTTTATTCATGCAGATAAATTAATTTCTGGATGTTCACACACAATCATGTGAATGATAATCTGAAATTATCTCATTGTTAAAATAATGACAATAAATCTCAAAAAGGCGGGGTGACTTGTCGAAAGACAGTGAAACAAAGGTTATTAACCAATTGTATTGATTTCTATTACTTTACTCTTTCAACATGACTTCCAAAAATACGGAGTTATTTATTATTACACCGTATGATTCTTTGTGCCACTACAAAGAATACCTCTTATCTATAACTAGTGCTTAGATTTAAATATATAATATTTTCTGCTGCATCAGTTCCAAAGAGATTTAGGACCTTGAATTTATTGCCAGAGGTTTTATTTTCAAGTGTTACTTTCTTTCACTGGAATAATCTAAAAGAGACACTTGAGGACTAATACAGAAGATGATCAATTGAGCACTTATTTTAAACAGTCATCTGTCATGCATTCATGATATGATAATTTCACAAAGCCTTATTATGGCTGACTTCTCCTCAATATACTTACATGACTCTGTAATGACTTTGTACCTTTGCCCAGAAAATTTAGAATCAACCACAAAATATGCAAGAGAGGAGGAAGAGAACAAACATTCCTCTATTTCCCACTGCAAATCAGACACTCTCCTAAAGGCTTTACAAAGTTTACTTATAATAAAAGCATAACTTCAGGATTTATTTTCCACACTTTATAGAAGACTCTAACAATTTTCATAATATCCATTAGTTAGGTTTGAAACGGATCCAACCTACATCAATATCTAAGCTAGTGCCTTTATATCAAGAGTGAAAATCAAGTACATCTCACAAACCATGTGCAAGTATCAGCTAAATATTACTATGTTGTAAGAATTAAAAAATTCTTACGGCTAAAGGAGCTCTGGTAGCGTAGTGGTTACAAATCGGGCTGCGAACCTCAAGGTCAGCAGTTCAAAACTACGAACTGCTCCGCGGGAGAAAGATGAGGCGTTCTGCTCCCGTAAAGATTAACAACCTCGGAAACCCTGTGTAGGGTTTCTATGAGTCGGAACCAACTCCACGGCACATAACAACAACAAAGTAATTAAAGCAACTTTTCATATAATTTCCACCTGTGAAGGACAAGAAGCCAACAGAAAGAAACAGACTACCTTCTCTTGCCCACCATATGGGTAAGGGATGAGAAAACAATTTTGTGGTTGTTGTTGTTAAGTGCAGTCAAGTTAATTCTGACTCATAACAACCCTGTATAGGGTTTATAGGAGCAGCTTGTGAGCTTTAACCACAGACCTTACAGTTCAAATGGACCTTGCAGTCCAGCACATTAGCCCACAAGACCATAGCAGGAGGAAACAGGTGTTTACAAATTATTCTTGAAGCTAAAGGCACTTAAAAATCCCACTGTTAGTTACTGCAGTATATATTTATTTACCTTTGGGGCCCCTGAGGCAAGAAAACATTTTAAAAAAAAACTTTCTTAATACTTAAAATTCATTGTGAATATGTTTTAGAATAGTTATTTTTATTATTAGTGTATTTTTGTTCCAAGTACTTGTTCAAAATTCAGTTGAAATAATATATAAAATACTGAAATATTTTTTACTTTATGAAGGTGATTTCTAGTTTATTTTTAGAGTGAAAGTTGTAAACCCTTATTCACCACTATAATAATTTGAAAAGGGCAAGGAACTACAAATACAAATCATACTTTTTTATATGATGAAACATGACTTTGAAACAAAACTGGGTTCTAATTTGACTGATAATCATTGGCTGTTTATACTTAGGAAATTCATTTTCCTTTTCCAGGAATCCATTGTCTGGACTTTCTCACAAAACCATTGGACTAACTTAATGATGCCTTTACTTTTGAATTTTATAAACCAGTTAAAATGTTAAAAGGAAATAAAAATATGGATTTTAGGCAACAGGTTGTTGTTGTTGTTAAATACCGTGGAATCGGTTCTGACTCATAGTGACCCTGCACAGGGTTTCCTAGGCTGCAATTTTTTACAGGAGCAGAAAGCCTCATCTTCCTCCTGTGGAACAGCTGGAAGTTTCAAACTGTCGACCTTGAGGTTAGCAGCCTGATTCATAACCACTACGCTACCAGAGCAACAGGTTACCAACTTTTATTTCACCAGGGAAGGACATTCCAAATACTAAACTTGTCAATTCCCCAATTGTGTCAATATTTCAAGAAATCGGAAGAATTTTAATGCTAAAGTAGTAAAAAAAGATATGATTTCATATGAAAAGAGAATTACAATTTGCCTACAGGAACCAGTAACAATATTGCAAGTGTACCCACACTTTTAAGAACATCAAATGACCTCTATGGCATGCTCGGACTTCGGTGTGGTGCAGTGGGTTAATGTGCTGGTGGGTCAATTTGAACTGCAAAGTTGGTGGGTCAAGCTCCTTAGAAACCCTATACAGGGTTACTAAAGGTCATAACTAACTGGATGGCACTTAGCAACAACAACAATAATGGCCCTGCCCAATTCTATATCCTATGAAATTTATGGTAATTTAAAGTTGTGCCCAAGATACACATTTTCCCCTGTAAACTGAAATCCAAATGACAGGCTGTTTTGCAAATGTTAAGCTTTCATCTAACATGATGGATTGTTTAGTAGTTACTTGTTTTCAGCCTAATGTAGGCATACATGTGTATGAACAAAAGCAAACATAGTTTTAGCAGTGCAGACACTTGAACCTGAATCAAACATTTATAACAGCTATTTTCTAAAAGAAGTTATATTGTTTGAAATCCACCTTTATACAGTCTAAATTCACAGAATTTAGAACTGAAAGAAGCTTAAGGTATTATTTACTAGCATATCTGTATTTAATTAGAGAAAAAAAAAAAGGCTCAACATTTACTTGTTTAAAGAAATAAGCTAATTACTGGTTTTACCACAAGAATTCTGACTCTTTAGTGTTCCATATGCAAGCAATGTATAGAATACAAGTATACATCTCTGGTGTGGCACTGTGGATTAATGCACTGGACTACAAAGTCATTTTGAACCACAAGGTCAGTGGGTGAAGCCTACCAGTCATTCCTCAGAAACCCTATACAGGGTCACTATGGGTTGGAATTGACTCAATGGTACTTAACAGCAACTGCATATACCTACATGGACAGTTTTATTAATTTTGCTGAATTGAAACTCACTGCCTTCTAGTTGATTCCAACTGTTCCATAAGGTTTCCAAAGTTGTAAATCTTTATAGAAGCAAACACCACATCTTTCTCTCTCAGAGCAACTGGTGAGTTGAAACTTGTCAACCACTGCATAACCAGACTCCATTCAATTTTGCAAGGACTTTCAAACGTATGTTTTTTAGTTGAAAACATAATAAATATTTAAATGTAGGCATTATAATTTTAGAAAACCAGGGAAGATCTCTGGGGCAATTAATATATAATCTGTCTTTAAAAAGTTCATGGAAAAATGGAATTAAAGATAATGGGATTTTTCCACAAATGTTTTGAAACACCCTAATATAAGGCTGGAGTACTGGTGTGATGCTGTGGGTTAATGCACCAGATTGGGAAGCTGTTAAACTAAAAGGTTGGTGGTTCAAACTCACCAGTCGCTCCTTGGAAATTCTACACAGGGCCGCTGTGGGTTGTAACCAACTCGATGGCACTTAACAACAACAAACAATATAAGGCTGGAATCCTGGTGTGCCACTGCAGGATAATGTGTTGGACTGCAAGGTCAGTTTGAACCACAAGGTTGATGGTTCAAGCTTACCAGCCACTCCTCAGAAACCCCATACAGGGTCACTATGAGTCAGAACAGACTCAACAGTACTTAATAACAACAACAACAAATATAAGGCTGACAGTTATTTAAAAGCTTAATATAGCTTCCAATTTTGTCAAGACAAATATTGATGTTTATGACAGTTTATTAAACATGGAAGATTAATAAAAATGAATATATGGGAAAGATCATAATTATGTTTCTTTTTTGTTGTTGTTATGTGCTGTGAAGTCGGTTCCGACTCATAGCGATCCTGCACAGGGTTTCCGAGGCTGTAAATCTTTATGGGAGCAGAAAGCCTCATCTTTCTCCCACCGAGCAGCTGGTAGTTTCTAACTGCAGACAGTGAAATTAGCAGCCCTATTCATAACCATTATGCTACCAGAGCTCCTTTATGTTTCTTTGTTGTTGTTGTTGTTAAGTGCCATGCCATTGAGTCAGTTCTGACCCATAGTGACCCTGTACAGGTTTTCCGAGGGTGTAAATCTTTACGGGAGTAGAAAGCCTCATCGTTCTCCCGCTGAGCGGCTGGTAGTTTCGAACCGCTGACCTTAAGATTCGCAGCCCGATTCGTAACCACTACGCTACCAGAGCTCCCCTTATGTTTCTTTAGGGCTCAAAAATATAAGAAGTCTATTAAATGTATGAAACAGCTATAGTTAACAAAATATTATTGTCTGTCATTTACCTCCTTGTCTGCCTCTTGAGTAAATTTAAGCAGCTCTTTATTTCCATTATATACAAGATTAACCTCTTTGACAGCAGTCTTTCCTTTTCCCCATACTTTGATGAATCCAAGCCTCATTTCATTTGCATTTACATAACCATTTTTCAATATAGTGCTTGTCAAGTTGTTCTATAAAGAAAAATAAATAATGTATATCATTCTTTTGCAAAAAAATAAAATCTTTTGAAAAACTAGGTTTGCTAAAGAAAAAGGCATTTAATAGTACAGTAATGAAGTATTTAATATAAGAAATACACAATAACGTTTCAAACATTGTTTTATACAATTACATTTACATGATCTCCCATGAATACATACCTTGTTTAAATTAAACTGTACCATGACATACTGGTCTCTTTCATAGGTATCTGTAAAGGGAAAAGGAAGATATATTTTGATTTCCAAGTAACAATATGAAGTCGTGTATTTAGCTTCTTTTCCCCAATATTGTTGTTCTTAACTGCCATGGAGTCAGTCCTGTCTCATAGAGACCCTGTGTAAGGTTTCTGAGGAGTGACTGGTGGATTTGAATCATCAACCTTATGGTTAGCAGCTCAGTGCTTATCCTACAGCACCACACTAGGACTCCTTTACCCAATATTGTTGTTGTTGTTGTTAAGTGCCGTCGAGTCGGTTCCGACCCATAGTGACCCTGTACAGGGTTTCCGAGGGTGTAAATCTTTACGGGAGTAGAAAGCCTCATCTTTCTCCCGCGGTGCAGCTGGTAGTTTCGAACCGCTGACCTTAAGGTTCGCAGCCCGATTCATAACCACTATGCTACCAGAGCTCAAATGATACCAAATATCATAAACATAATATTTCTCTCAGAAAACATAACTTGTCCAACTACAGTGCAAGGAACACTGTAATAATAAGATTATTATTGATGAAGAAACACAAAGAGTCCTAGAAGAATGGGGTATAGTGGTATATGTGGATGTGGCATGTTTAAATCTCCTTGAATGCAGCTCTAGGAAATCACCTGGTAATATTGATAGCCACTTCTATGCCACATCAAAAACTTAAAATAAAATAATATTTGTAAAAGAAAAGCAATATGACAGCAACTTATACTTGTATGCTGTTGTTGTTGTGTGCCATGGAGCTGGCTCTGACTCACAGCGACCCTGCACAGGGTTTCCAAAGCTATAGATCTTTACAGGGGCAGAAAGCCTCATCTTTCTCCCATGGAACAGCTGGTAGTTTTGAACTGCTGACCCTGAGGTTAGCAGCCTGATTCATAAGCACTATGGTACCAGAGCTCCCTTATACTTGTACAGTTTGAACATTTTTTCAATTGTTAGAGATTGTTATATGTCAACTGAAATCAAATTGGAAGTACAACTAGAAGACTCCTAAAAAGTAAGGCTAACAAGACTTGATCTCATAAGCTCTGGATATGTTATCATTATGGGACAAGTCCCTGAAGAAGGACATCATGTTTAGCAAAGTAGAGGGTCAGCAAAAAAAGAGGAAGAGGGTCACTTTCAATGAGATTGATTGACACAGTGGCTGAAACAATGGAGTCAAATATAGCAATAATTATGAGGATGGAGCAGGAGTAGGCAGTGTTTCATTCTGTGAGCTTTAATCAATTCAACAGGGCACCTTACAGCAACAATATCTTTACATAAACAAGTTGTTATTGCTAGGTACTGTGAAGTCAAGTTCAGCTTATAGCAACAGTGTAAGTGCTCTGGTAGCGTAGTGGTTACAAATCAGGCTGCGAACCTCAGGGTCATCAGTTCAAAACTACCAGCCACTCCATGGGAGAAAGATGAGGCTTTCTGCTCACGTAACAATGTACAGCCTCGGAAACCCTGTGCAAGGTCGCTATGAGTCGGAATAGACTCCACGGCACATAACCACCACCAACAACTACAACTAGCACACTAGCTTTTCTCAGGTGGAGCTGCTGGGCGGCTTGAAACTGCCAACATTTCAATTAGCCGCCAAGCACTTAAATGTTGCCTTACCAGGGCTTCTTACTTCAAATAATCTTACCATATTTTAAATCACTTTAAATAAAAATCTTACAACGAAGTACTTAGTTCATCAAATTCTAAGTACTTCACCACAGCTACCTTAATAGTTTTGTACCACTGTTATCTTCACTATCCAGGTTTCCCTGACTTTTTAAATTTTGTTTATATATAAAAACAAATAAGCACTTATCAAACAGAAAGGGAAAGGCAGAATTAAACCAATGACTGTAGCAGATATTGAAATCCCACTGCAAGAAGCAATAAACTTTTGAATCCCTTCTCCACTTATACATATCAGCATATTAATTTTTTTGAAAAATGACTGAATTGATAATACATGTTATCTACATTGAAATTTTTTCTACACAGAAGTGATATTCTGCCCCTCCAACATTTTTTTCTCTATATACTAATGCATAGAGTCTTGGTGATGCTGAGGGATATACATTCAACTGCTGACCACAAGGTCTGTGGTTAAACCCACCAGCAGCTCCACAGAAGAAAGATAGGCTGTTTTCTCCAGTCAAGATTTACAGTGGCAGAAATCCTAAGGAGATTTCTACTCTGTTTTAGCGGGGTTTTATGAATTGAAATGAACTTGATGGCAGTGGTGAGTTTTATAGTGATCAGACATAGCTTATATAAGATGTGTCTGAAGCAAAACAAATTAATCTTAATTTTTGAATATATATTTTGATTTACATTTCTAAAAATAATTTTCAAACACATATAGAACTCTGAAGTAAACCTAAACAAAAGCTATAGCTATTAGAAAAATATGAGTTGATTTTTGGTGGTTGTTGAAATGAATAATATACAAATCAAATTCAGGTGTAGACAAGTTCACAGATATATCTATTTTCATGAAATGCCTAGGTAAAAGGAATATTTTATATTTTACTAAGCTTTGTTGTTGTTAAGTGCCATCATGTCTGTTCCACCTCATAGTGGCCCTGTATTGGGTTTCCAAGGCTGTAAATCTTTAAGGGAGCAGAAAGCTTCATCTTCCTTTCATGGAGCCGCTGTTGGGTTTACAATATTGAGATTGGGGTTCAAAGCTCAGTGTTTATCTTACAGATCCACCACTCTCCATTTACTTAGCTGGAACGATCAAAGTTCACTTTATATAAACAAGCTCTATTTTGATTTTCTCTTTGACTCTTTCTGAAAGGAAGAATGTATTAGCTAATAAAATTTTATTGTATTTCTTTAAAAGAAGAAACCCATTTAAAATGATTATTCATAAACTAGACTGGGGTCCTCATATAATAAAATGAGTTTGCAGATTCTAATTTAATAAGCCTAGAGATTTTAGGAGTCCTGGTGTGGCACTGTGGGATTTTAAGCATTTGTTTTGTATTATGGTTGCTTTTTACCAAAAATTTTCAGTGGGGTATTTTAAATGCTTATATTTTATTAAATTATATATCAAATGGAAAGATGCAATTGGTCAGAATAATTTTGTATGCCTGCATCAAGCTATTATAAATATGTGAATTGCTACCAATCCCTTTTTAGTAATTAAAAAGAATGATAGCAACAAATTTGGTTTTACCAAGTTCTTTTCTCTGCTTCCTGGATTCATAGGAAGAGTTAGAGAGAAAAAAAAAAAAAAAATCTAATTCTAGGGAATTTTGATTATTTAGCTATTGAATTACAATAAGCTAATGTGTTAATGTGGTGTTGTGGATTAAAGCTCCAGACTGCAAAGCCTTTTGAACTGCAAGGTTGGCGGTTCAAGCTCACCAGCTGCTCCTCAGAAACCCTATCGGGGTCACTATGGGTCAGAATCAACTCAATGGCACTTAACAACAACAGCAATGTGCTAAAGTGTGAGAGTCAAAGACACCCTGAGATATCTTTGAATGCAAATGACCCATCCCTTAAATTTATACCCCAAGGATCCTGCAGGCAAATTCACACGCAAAAGCAGGACAGCAAACCTTGGTGTGGTCATGTAGCTAATGTGTTAACAAAGGTCAGGCTCTAAAAGTCTAAGATTTCAACTAACCGCAATGAGTTTCATCATTTTTAAATCACATGAATTTAGAGGTTTTGAATAACATCAATATATTTTTTTTCAGTTTGCAAAGTACTGGGATGGTGGTGGTGATATGCCATGGAGTCGATTCTGACTCATAGTGACACTGTAGAAGGTTTCCGAGGCTGTAAATCTTATGGGAGCAGAAAGCGTAATCTTTCTCCCATGGAACAGCTGGTAGATTCGAACTACTGACTTCCAGGTTAGCAGAACAACTCGTAACCACTATGCTACCAAGGATAGTAACATAGAATAAATGTTAGAGAATAAGTATGTCATCAATTACATCTATCAAATGAATGGAATGCTCACCTATAGTCTCTCCATCATCCCAAAACAGAGTTCCTTTTGCCATCTGATTATCATCTACAGCAACAATGAGTCCCATGTAATTTTTTCGACTAAAAGAAAGGAATATATAGTGTTATCAATGTTTGTAGACTAGCATATATCTAGTGATGATAGGACACTCATATAAACATCCAAAAAAATCCCATAGCTAAGTTTAAAAGAAAGCATAAACTGTTTTAGACAAAGTTAAAAAAGAACTTCCCTTTTTCAATAGGCTAATGGGGATGACATAAAGCATAACATCATATTTAATAAGATATATTGTCTTTTGACCCAAAGAGTTCACCTACTATTACAAATTAGAAGTGACCTGAATTTATAATGATGAAAACCTTTTTAAGTCTATGGATATATTTACATGTTCTGCTGTTGGGTGATGCTGTCATTAACTATTAAAAATAAGCTATTTTTTGTGGCATATTTTGAATCTCTTATACTGTAAGCTTTTCTCGTGTTTCTATACATAAATTAATCAGTTAATGAATGTGTATAGAGTAGCAAGAAAATTCTGAGTTCTATTCTAGGAATGGACAACTCCTACAACTCCTGCCAACCTTGTGCCAACAGAGGCCCATCCTTGAACAAAAGCTCCCACTTCCATTCTCACTGCACACCCTTTGTGGAAAGCACCTTGGTTTGGCAGACTTTTATTGCTAAAGAAAAATTTCTCAGATAAACTATTATTAGGTATATGTCTTTTCTGATAACAAATACTGAATAATATATTCTCATAGAGTCTTACAAAACACTCAAAATAATTAAAGTTCAAAATTCAAGTAATTTGTTATTTTTCAGAGCAAAGATGTTCACATATCATAGCATGTATATAAGGGGAATTCAGAAATTCAAGGAATTAAAAGATAATAGAACTTTTACATGCACATTGTGTGCATATATATCTATATATGTTGTTGTTGCTGTTAAGTGCTATTTAGTTGGTTCCGACTTGTGTGGTTGTTGTTAGGTGTCATCGAGTAAGTACTGACCCCTAGCGACCTTATGTGCAGCAGAATGAAACACTGCCCCATCCTGGGCCAACCTCACTACTATTGCCACGGTTGAGTCCATTGATGTTGCCATTTGGCCAATCCATCTCTTTGGGGATCTTCCTCTTTTTCTCTGACCCTCCACCTTACCAAACATGATATCCTTCTCCAACATGACTGCTCCCTCCTGACAATATGTCCAAAGTATGAGAGACAAAGTTTGGCCATGCTGGTCTCTAAGGAGCACTCTGGATGCACTTTTTCCAAAACAGATCTATTGGTTCTTTTGGCAGCTCATGGCACTTTCAATAGTCTCCTTCAACACCTTAGCTCAAATGCATCAATTCTTCTATGGTATTCTTTATTCACTGTCCAGCTTTTGCATGCATATGAGGTTATTGGAAATACCATGGCTTGGCTCATAGGGACCCTATATAGGATTTCCAAGGAGTGGATGGTGAGGTTCAAACTGACCTTGCAGTTCAAACTGACCTTGAGGTTCAAACTGATCTTGCAGTCCAGTGCATTAACCCACAGTACCACACCAGAATACTCTCTCTCACTCACTTTTTGTGTATATATATACACACACATTGTTGTTGTGTGCTGTTGAGTCATACACACACACACATACGCTGCTATTTAGTTAAGTGCTGTTAAGTTGATTCCAACCCATAGTGCGATCCTGTATAGGGTCTCCAATGAACATCTGCTAAGTTTGAATCACTGACCTTGCGGTTCAAGCTAACTTTGCAATCCAGCACGTTAACCCACACCAGGGCTAATCTCATGCATTTGAATGCTGGACAGTGAATAAGGAAGACTGTAAAAGAATTGATGCTTTTGAGTTATGGTGTTGGAGGAGAATATTGAAAGTGCCATGAGCTGCCAAAAGAACCAATAGATCTGTGTTGGAAGGACACCATTGCTACCTTTATAAATCTTTTAATAAACTAGAAGCCACTGTTGTTGTGGACGACTTTGATTTCTATATCTTTTCTCTTTTTTTTCTCTGATTGTATCTGTCTATCCCATGAGATCTTTTCAGACTCACCATGGCCCATGAGAGGAGTCCCTGTGTGATTCAAATAGTTTAGCATTTGACTACCAGTCAAAACTGCCAGCCGCTCCGTGGGAGAAAGATGAGGAGTTCTGCTCCTGTAAAGATTTACACCCTCGGAAACCCTGTACAGGGTCGCTATGGGTCGGAACCGACGCAACAGCACTTAACAACAACAACTACAACCAGTCAAAAAATTGGCAGTTTGAACCACTCTAAAGCACAGATTCATTCCTTGGATGTTACCAAACAAAGAAACAAAACATCAAATTTTTAAAATCACAAATAAATCCTTTATAAAAAATCTTAGTGTAGCTCTGTAGGATAAGCACAGGACTGCTAACCACAAGGTCAATGGTTCAAACCCACCAACTGCTCCTTAGGAACCCTATACAAGGTTGATATGAGTCAGAATGGACTCGACGGCACCTAACAGCAACAACAACAAAGATAATAATAATATTCTTAGAGCTGTTGTGTGCCATCAAGTCAGTTCTGACTAGGTAGGTCTGAACTGCCAACATTGTGGCTAGCAGGCCCTTGTTTATCCTAGTAATCATTCTTTCCACAATGTAATGCATGCGAAGATGAGGATACCATTCAAAATAGGATATTCATTTTTTTTTAGACAGAACATGTTATTAAAGAAGACTTAGAGTTTCCATTTATATTTTGGTTCAAAAATACTTGATGTTTTTCTACTTCTAGAACAAAAAACTGCAATAATTCTCCTATATTTTTCTGCATGGATTGTAAGCAGAGGCACAGGCGGTTGTTCTTCTGAACTATCTTTTTAAGTATATTTTAATAGCAAAACATAAGAGTTTTGTTTTGTTTTATTTTTTACTGTCCATTATAATAAAGCCTTTCATCAAAACAAAGAAGATGGATAGATTTATTTGCAGTCATTATAGAAGATTTGGGGTTCCTCAGCTGTGACTCAAACCAAATGCACGTGAAGTATCCATATGGACCACACTGTGTCACCTCGCCATGGAACATGTGGGAAAAGAAAAACTGAAGCACGAATGAAGTTCATGCTTCTTAGGTGCTATTAGTAATAAATACTTTGTCTCTGAGCCAGTACCCGTGAAGCTGTGACAAGGATACTTTGGTAGCTTACAAGTAGAATTGAAGGCCCTTCATGGTTCTTAACAATTCTAGCATAATGTAACTCAAAGTTTAAAACTGAATTCTGTAGTAATTCACTTACCTGAAAAATGTGTTTTGAGCAGGCTCCTGGCATGGCAGGATGTGGCCTCCACGGACATGCAGGTTTATTTTATTCCAAGGAGCATCAAAATCATGAAGTTGTCCTCTCACACCTATATCTTGACCCTAGAAATGAGAAGGTTGGGAGGAAGAATGAGAGCAAATAGGTAGAGTCACCAGCAACATGGTACACCCATTTACTTGAAGGGGTAGGTTTATAAAATCAAGTAATTAGGTTTTCAATTGAAAAACAAAAAAACTCAAACATTTATTTAGTAAATCATTTTGTTTCAAATTTATTTTATGATAATGTTAAAAGAAACATACAGCTATTTGTTTTTGTGGAACTCACAGGCAGAATTTTGCAGATTTTGGAAAGGTTATGAAAACAATCTTTGTCTTGTCATATACATTATTTTTTAAAGTACTGCATCCCTCTTATTGATAATTTTGCATTTCCAATAAAAAACAATAAACTTTTTTTGTGTGTGATGTGTATTCTCCATGTTTATTTACTAAAATAAATCAATGACTATATAACAAATGGAGTCCTGGTGTAGCGCAGTGGGTTAATGCACTGGACTGCAAAGTTGGTTTGAACCACAAGGTTGGTGGTTCAAGTTCACAAGCTGCTCCTCAGAAATCTTATACAGTGTCACTATGGGTTGGAACTGACTTGATGGCAATAAACAACAACAACTTTACAAACATAACTAACAATAGCAGAATAAATTAGCTCTGTGGCTGTGCATTAATTTAGCTCAGCTTAATTAGCAAGAATTATCTTGTTCTTTTCCAACATAAAATAATACAAATGCATCATTAATGAAAAGGCTATGATCAAATTATTACCCATTCCTGATTAATCAATTTCCCAAAATTTCCCAAATACTTACGGTGTGATAATCAAACCATCGAGCTTCAGGGATATAACCTCTTACAGTTACAGCATTCTGAAATGTAAAGATATAGTAATTAAACATATCTGTGTATATATACACAAAGCAAAAAAAATGTTTGAGGAAAACATTATGTTTCAGTACTTACATATTCCAACACAGGAGTAACCATAAATGCTGGACCCCACAAGAACTGCTTGTATATTTCCCAGGTTGCCTTTTCTTCAAAGAACCTTGAAAAAATAATTATACATAATTAAATAAAAGTTAATCAAAGTCATCTATCTCTTCTGGATACAATAAAACTATTTCTCAAATTACATTTTGTATTATGGATTTTGGTATAAAATATCAAGACCAAACTATAAAAATCAGATAATTATATGACTTGGAATTCAATGTCCAGTAGTATATCATGGGTAAATCTAGACTATGACTAAATTTCCTGACAAAATGCATATAATTTTAATGGTCCTGTAAGAAAAGTTGGAATGAGAAATCTCCTTTGAAGAGAACTCATAGAAGTATTTGTTTTGCCTAATATATGATAAACAAAATAAGAAGCAAAATTATAAACTGGAAAAGAATCGTGATTCAAATATGCTATAATAATTCTGATTTTGTGACTTTAAAAACAATTTGCCTATGCTATGTATATTTGCTGTTTTTGTTAAGTGCCTTTCAGTCAATTCTGACTCATAGAAGCCCTGTATATGGTTTCCAGTGAGCAGCTCATGGGTGGAACCACTGGCCTTTTGGATAACAGTCCAGTGCTTATCATACAGTACCACACCAGAACTCACTAAGTACAAAATTACAATGCCCTGATATATTCTAAAATGCTAATACATTTCTATATTTAAAGAAAAAAAATCTGGTCTTTATAGTTCATGCCAACTCTTGGAGACTTTATATAGAACAGAAAAAAATGCTGCTTCCCTCAATTTTCTAGGTAATCTAGGGTAAATTAAGTATAAGATTATTTTATTAAGGATTATTTGTGATTTCTAAAATTTAATATTTTGTTTCTTTTTTTAAGTAACATCCATGGAAGAAATCTGCTTTTATATGTCTTAAAGATAAACTTGCCCACCCTTCCCCCACAAAGTAAGTAAATCAGTGCTTTCTAACTGTGCTGCAGGGAATAGAATTTTTAATATTTGATTATAAAAAAGCTTAAATTTTGTGGAAAAAATCTAAAAGAAATTTCTAAAGATAATATTGGATCTTCTCTAGTTTTTTCTACTTGTTGTTGTTGTTAAGTGCCGTCGAGTCGGTTCCGACTCATAGCGACCCTGTACAGGGTTTCCGAGGATGTAAATCTTTACGGGAGTAGAAAGCCTCATCTTTCTCCCGCAAAGCAGCTGGTAGTTTTGAAACCGCTGACCTTAAGGTTCGCAGCCCGATTCGTAACCACTTAGCTACCAGATCTTTTCTAGCTTTTTCTACTAGCTCACCACAAAGAAGTGGGATAATTCTCTTCAGTCAGGCATTGTTAATTGTGGTAGATTTACGTAACTGCCATAAACTTCAATTAATTTTATTATAATATAGGAATAATATTACCTATCTCTGAAGATTTTAAAAAATATTTGATGTAATAATATACGCAATGCATCTAAAACAATATCTGATGTACTGTAACTATTCTTATTTAAGAATTATTACTTTAAAAAAATTGACTAATTTTTGTACTAGTAAAATATTATTTAAAATTTAGGTTAAACCACCACCAACAACAACAAAAAAATTGATTCATGTTTTTCATTCTATAATGGTGTATATTCATTATTCTGTTTAATGATAGAGATATGGAATGAAATGCTTCATTAACTCAAAATATATGCTTAAATAATAACAGACATTTTTCCAATTTAAAATGATCTATAAGAATTAAGTCTCCTAGCATACAAATTCCTGGTCAAAAGGCTGAAATTAACAGTAAGAATATTAAAAATATATATCCAATACTGTTGTTGTACACATTACTTATAAAAATAATAGACAAAAGCTCTAGTGATTATTTTATCTTTTCAGTTAAAATGTACTATAAAGTATTACTGAATAAATCAAATGAAAATTATCTCTCTGTGGTAGGAAAAAAAAACAAAAAAACTTTGTACTTACTCATGCAAAAGGGGTCTAATAACAGTGCCACCATGAGCATGAATTTCATGCATTTGTGTATAGAAATAGGGCAATAAACTGTATCTGATATTTAGAACATCCCTTGACATGTTAGAAAAAGTTTCATTCCAGGAAGCAGGATCTTGCCTCTGAAAATAAAATAAAAACTGCATTAATAATATTGAGGCTCTTCTCCATTTATTTTAAAATCACAATATTCAAATATAAAATAGAAAAAATATTAGTGCCCTGCCATGTGCAATGTAATTTCTTCACAAAATGAATATACAATGATGTCTCTATCATATGAGAGAGACAAAGAAAGGGAAAGAAAAAGAAGGAACAGACATAATGATAATCATATAATAAGCAAAGTGTGAAAATGATTTTGTCAATTTATGTATTTAATTGAGCCCTTAACTTGATAAAATTTAGGTGAAAAATATTAAATGTTTGATAAATTGCATAAATACGTTTTCAAAAATGAGTAGTCATGAGTGAGAAAGCTATTTGAAGAATGAGAGAATACGCACACAAAAGGGGATAGAAATAATCAGAGCCATTTAGAGCCTGTCATAATGATCCTGCGCATCGTGTTTCTCATAAGAAATGGATAAATTATGCAACTAAATAAATAACAGTATTTTTAAAAAATGTTTCATTGTAATATCAATATTAATAGCATCTAAGAAGAACCATACAGAACTATCTAACGTAGTATTACAGAAAAGATCAGGCCCAAGTCTCCTCTGGAATGTAAATCCCAGGTCAAAAGAACTGAAAATGATAGTGGTGGTGGTTGGTGGTTGGGAGCCGTTGAGTCAATTCTGACTCATATGGACCCTGTATAGTTTTTTTTGAGGTGGTAAATCTTTACATGAGCAGAAAGTTTCATCTTTCTCCCATAAACTGGCTAGTGGATTCAAACGGCTAACATTGTGGTTAGTAGCACAACATGCAACCTACTACACCACCAGGCATATCCTGAAAATGATAGTAAAAAGATTAAATAAAAGCTAGTGTAATTGCGATGGCACCTGACAACAACAAGTGTAATTACAGTCCAGGAGCCGAGGTCCCTGGGACCATCAAGGGAGAAGTGAGGAATGTGAGACCCTACCCAGTGAAGCAGTGACTCCAGAGATGGAGACAGAGACGATGACTTGGAGAGAGTGAAAGACTGGGGACTCTAGACTGAGAGAGGGAGAGAGGCTGTGTGCTGACAACCAGGGGAAAGGCTTGCAGGGTATACCCTTTGGTTTGTTGATGATGCATGGAGGGGACTGTAACCATGGCAATGAAATGATATACGACAGGATGAATGTAAAGCTAGTGTTCTCCGATGCAAACTATCACATCATTCACAATAAAACATTTTAAAAATATATAACTGAGGGGGAAATAAAAGCTAGTGTAAAATAAAACTGTTGCACATATTACTTACAAAAATAATAGAGAAGGGCAGTGGTGATTACTTTATATTTTCCGTTATACCAGGGAGATGCACAAGGCTACCACTGTGCAAAACTGCTAGAGGCCACACTTTCAGTGTTTTTGTTTATATAAAAATGACTGATGTCATTTATTCAAACGGTGACATATTTATGAAGATTTCAAGTTTTCAGATTTCAGGAATATGTAAAATTGAAATATCACTAATGAATGAATGTTATTATTGGTTTGTTGTTATTGTTAGGTGCCATTGAGTCAGTACCGACTCAGCGACCTTATGCACAGCAGAACAAAACACTGCCCGATCCTGGGCCAACCTCACTATTGCTGCCACGCTTGAGACCATTGATGCTTCCACTTTGCCAATCCATCTTGCATGGGGTCTTCCTCTTTTTCTCTGACCCTGCACCTTACCAAACATGATCTCCTTCTCCAGAGACTAGTCCCTCCTGACAATATGTCCAAAGTATAAGCGATGAAGTTTGGCCATCCTGACCTCCTAGGAACACTCAGGCTGCACTTCTTCCACCTTACATCTATTGGTTCTTTTGACAGCCCATGGTTTAAGTATCGTAAATGCAGGTAAAACTTTGAAAGTATAATAGAGCCAAGAACCACTAAGCTATGTGTATTCTATTGCTATAACTTTCCACTTCAAGTGAGAAAATTTTAAAGATCATACTTGTTGCTTATTCACTCTATTAAAATAATTTCAGTTTTAATATACTGCTTTCTTGTTGTTAATTGTTTTTAGGTGCCACAGAGCTGGTTTCTACTCATAGCAAACCTATGCACAACAGAACAAAACAGTGCCCAGTCCTGTGCCATCTTCATAATTGTTGTCAGGGTTTAGCTTATTGTTTTTGCCACTGTGTCAATCCATCTCATTGAGGGTCTTCCTCTTTCTTGCTGACCCTCCAACTTAACAAGCATGATATCCTTTTCCATGGATTGTTCCTTCATAATAACATGTCCGAAGTATGAGAGATGAAGTCTTGCCCTATTGGTTTCTGAGGAGCATTATGACTGCACTTCTTCCAAGATAGATTTCCTTGTTTTTCTGACAGTCCATGATACTTTTAATTTTCTTCTCCAAGACCATAATTCAACTGCAGTGATTCTTCTATGGTCTTCCTTAGTTATTGTTCGACTTTCACATGCACATGAGGCAATTGAAAATTACTTGGATCAGGAGCACCTTAGTCCACAAACTAGCGTTGTTGCTTATACCACTTTAAAGGGATAGGAGATTTACCTAATATAATAAATCATTTTGATTTCTTGACTTCTGCTTCCATGAGTGTAGATTGTGACTCCAAGCAAAAGGAAATCTTGAACAACTTCAATTTTTTTTCCATTTATCAAGATACTATTTACTGGTTAAGTTGTGAGGATTTTTGTGTTCTTTACATTTGAGGTGCAATCCATACTAAAGTCTGTAGTCTTTGATATTCATCAGTAAGTATTTTAAGTCCTCTTTGCTTTCAGCAAGTAAGGTTATATCATTTGCATATTATTGTTGTTCAGTGTTGTAGCAGGTAACTAATGAGTCTTACTCCAATCTTGGTGCCAGATTCCTCTTCATGGAATCCAGTTTCTCAGATTATTTGCTCAGCAAACATGGATCTCTTCCAATCAGTTCGCCAGTGTGATAGTTAAGGTTTTGTGTCATCTTGACTTTGTCAGGCTTCCCAGTGGTTTGGCAGTTGAGATGCCATTATCCCCATGGTGAGATCTAACACAGCACAGTTAACTCTATGATGATTAGCTATGAGCAAACATAGTTAACTCTATGATTGGACATGAGCAGCTAATCAGTTGAAAGGATGTTCCCTCAGTGGCATGGTTTGCTTCCAGTATAATGGACACTCAGGCAAAGCATCCTTGCTTTCTGCTAGTCTAGATCTGGCTGCCAGTCCTCCAACCTCTGGTTCTTTAGAGTAGAGCCAGTTGCCTGCTTTATTATTTGCCTGCTTTTTATCTGCCTGCATGTCTGTGTGTCTGCCTGTTTTCCTACCTGTCTGCCTGCCTGACCTGCCTGCCAATCTTGGTACATCTGACCCAGATTTGGGACTTTCCCACCTCTACAATGGTGAATTAAGGAGCTCTGGTAGCGTAGTGGTTATGAATTGGGCTGCGAACACTTTAAAAACATCTTGTGCCACAGATATGCATAATGCAATATGTCTGTTTTTTGATTTCTTGACTGCTGCTTCCGTGAGTGTTGATAGTTGATCCAAGAAGAAAGAAGTCCTTGACAACTTCAACCTTTTCTCCACTGATAACAGAATGTTGTTTATAGGTCCAGTGGTGAGGATTTTTTTTTCTTTACATTAAGATGCTCTTTGATCTTCAGTAAATGTTTTAAGTCCTCTCCACTTTCATCAAGCAAGGTTGTATCATCTGTATATCGCAGGTTGTTAATGAGTCTTCCTCCAATCCTGATGTCACGTTTTTCTTCATATAACCCAGTTCTTGGGTCATTTGTTCAGCATAACAGGTTGAATAAGTATGGTGAAAGAACACAAGCCTGTCACACACCTTTCTTAGTTACACCACTCAGCCTCGGAAACCCTGTACAGGGTCTCTATGAGTCGGAACCAACTCCATGGCACATAACAACAAAAGTGTTAGTTTCACTGGTTTACTTTCTCTAGAGAACCCAGCCTAAGACAATCAGGTAGCTGTGTTCCAAGTTTCTCGACATACGTAAGTAAGTGCCCCTAGTGCTGCATCAGTTGTTTTTGAAAGTTTCAATTTGTTTACTGTCAATTCCTGAGGGCTGATTTTCACCAATGCCTTAGGTGAAGTTTCAACTTCTTCCATCAGTGCCATCACTTCTTGGTTATATTCTACCTCTTGAAATGATTGACATAGGCCAGTTCTTTGGGGTACAGTGACTCTGTGTATACCCTCCATTTTCTTTTGATGTTTTCTGTATCATTCAATATTTTTTCCATAGAAACCCTCAATATTGCAAATTGAGGTTTGAATTTTTTCTTCAGTTCCTTCATCTTGAGAAAGGTTGAGCGTGGTTTCCCTTTTGGTTTTCTAACTCTAGATCTTTACACATTTCATTGTAATACTTGACTTTGTCTTCTTAAGCTGTCTTCTAACATTTTCTGTTCAGGTTTTGACTTTCTCATTTCTTCCATTCATTGGAAGATCAAATTTGATAGTCTTTTCCTCTTTCTTTCCTGTCTTTTAAATCACCTTTTGCTTTCTTCCTGTATGTTGTTCCCTGACGTTATCCCACTCTGGTCTTCAGTTATTAGTGTGTAATACATCAAATCTGTTCTTGAGATGGTCTCTAAATTCAGGTGGGCTATGCTCAAAATCATATTTTGGCTTTCATGGACTTGTTTTAATTTTGTTTCATTTCTACCTGAACTTGCATATGAGCAATTGATAGTCCATTCTACAGTCAGCCCCTAACCTTTTTTCCCCACCATCTCTTCGCAAAGATGTATGAAATTTGATTCCTGAATATTCCATCTGCTGAGGTCCATGTGTACAGTCACTTTTTATGTTGTTTATTTGCAATGATTAAGTCACTGGTCTTGCAAAATTCTATCATGAGATGTCAAGCATCATTTCTATATTCAAGACAATATTTTCTTCCTAATGATCCTTATTCTTTGTTTCCAGCCTTCACATTCCAATCACCAGTAATTATCAATACATCTTGATTGCATGTTTGATCCATGTAAGACTGTTAAAGTTGGTAGAATCATTCAATTTTGTCATCCCTGGCTTTAGTGTGTAGCTGTTTCGTGGCACAACAATTAGTTAAGAATCCCTTATACTTTCAATTGTCTCCTTACTTTCTGATACCATTATTTTTCATACTTATCTTTTTAAATTATTTCTTTTATGCATTGATGCTTATATTTTGAATGACTTTCACTTCCAATTGTTTATTTTAGAGCTTATTTCATCCAATAAAGAAAATTGTGCGGAGGCAGATAATTTTATTTAGGATTCTCTAAACCCTTATTTAATAACTTTAATAAGTATGTCATCTAACCCTACCATGTATTTTAAATTATGAGGAAGAGTAGCCAGATCAGAAAATCTTAAAACTGATTGATGCTATAGAAACCAGGGGTTTAATGCATACATCAACAAATCTATCAGGTAGGGTTCACATTATTCAACAACTTCTACGGTTGGTATGGGAAAATGATTGAAAGTAAATGTAAAAATTACGTACTCTAGTAAAGGCAATGTTGTGATTTCTTGAGTATGGATAAAATGCTCCAAGTTGCATCCAACGGGCACAAAGACTATATTCTGAATCATTGAAGAAGCCACAGATATCTGCACCAACCTAGAACACATGATCACATTTAATTAGTTATAAGTAGTTTGTTTCAAAATATTTACAAAATATGAAAATAAAAGGAATAATGCTACTTACATAAGGTATTCCAAAGAGATTGAATTCCAACATACCTAAAATAAATTAGGAAAAATAAACTAAGAAAGTTGCTAATTCATATATTTTATATTTGTTATTATTTATTAATATGATATCATTCTACCCAATAAAATATTTATGAGTATTGATTTATTTTTTATTTTATTTTGTTCTATAATATTCACACATATTTTGACTGTATAAAGTTAATGAGGTCATAAAAATAGAACACTGTAAGCTTTCTTGACACGTGCAATATGACATATTTCGGGTACAAATATGATATAAACATGTTCTAGTGTAAGACTAGATCATGGGTATTTTTTTCTGGTACTGTATTTTTCAAAATAAAGAAGCTGTCTTGGGAATTATGTAACCAGAGTTCTCATCACTTGAAACAAATTGAATTATTTTTATTAAACACAATTTTCTGAGGAATGATTACTTCAATTAAATAGAATGCTTGTCATTTGTCAGCTTTCCTTTTGCAGATGCATTTCTAAATATTGATTGTTTTTCTTGAATCCATTTATCAATAATAAAGACTTGTAAAAACGGTTAGTGTTGTTAAGTGCCTTTGAGTTAGTTCTGACTCATAGTGATACTGTGGTGTTTCCAAGAAGTGGCTGGTGGAATTATGTGTGGAAAATAAAAGTATTCAATTTTCCTTTAAAATTATATATTTCTTATGTATTCAACCGTTGTCAAAAGACTATTTCAAAACATGAATTTAAATGTTTCATTAGTTAATATCTATAATTATTATTTTCTATAATCTAGAATTTTGATGTATTTCTTTTCTTCTTTCTAGATGTCACATTTTCAGTGATAGTCTTTTCCAATCAGGAAACTTAGTACAAAAGGAGTAAAATCATCTTTTCAAAACGAACTAGCTTGATACCATTAGTTTCTACACTTGTCTCAGATTCTGCTTCCTGGCCCATTGCCTCTTTATGATGCTATGTTGGCATAAGAGAGTCCTGGTGTGGTACGATAGGATAAACTTTGGACTGCTAACTAAAAGGCCAGCAGTTCAAACCCACCAGTTGCTCCTTGAAAACCCTATACAGCGTTGCTATGAGTCAGAACTGACTCAATGACGCTTAACAAAAACAATAACATGTTGGTATAAAAGTTGTCAAAACCATAGTTTTGAAGTGGACTTATAAAGTATATGAACTAGCACCAACAAAGATGAATATCTAATAAGAAACTCCAATGAATAATGATAGAGATGGAGACTTTCACATACCAATGATTGATTTGTCCAAGTTGTCCCATTCTGCGTAGTTATCTCCAAGCCAGTGTCCCCCCCACCGTCCACCAGTAGGATATGTTGAACGGGAAATAACAATTCCTCTTTTTCCAGTTGCTTTCTGCAATGCACTAAGATAGATGAAGAAGGATTCATTAATTTGTACAAGAGACATTTTATTCAGATATTTCTACTTATGGTCATTTCCAAATACTTTTGACTGCATGCTAGTGAGCAGCAGTGTTCCTGTTAAGTTGTTTGCAGTTATTTTATTTAATTTATGTTATTTAATTTTGTAGTTATTAGTCATATAAAATATATTTAATTATATAAAAATAAACTTCTATTACCAACTGGTGGAGGTGGTAACAGTGGCTGTGTGCTGTGGAGTCAGTTCCAACTTATAGCGACCCTGTTCAGGGTTTCCGAGGCTGTAAATCTTTACGGGAGCAGACAGCCTCATCTTTCTCCAGCAGAACAGCTGGTAGTTTCGAACTGCTGACCTTGTGGTTCGCAGCCCGATTCGTACCCACTACACTACCAGAATTCCTTATTACCAACTAACTTACAGTAAACATTTTTCTATTTTCATACACTTAGTAGGAGAGTCTACAATCAGTGTATGGTCACAGAAAAAGAAGTTTGATTTATGGTGTCTATGTAAGAAGCTCTGGTAGCATAGTGGTTACGAGTTGGGCTGCTAACCTCAAGGTCAGCAGTTTGAAACTACCAGCCATTCTGTGGGAGAAAGATTAGGCTTTCTGCTCCCGTAAAGATTTATAGCCTCAGAAACCCTACACTGGGTTGCTATGAGTCAAAAGCAACTCCATGTACACTATCAACACCACTACCACCACCATGTAATCTCTTATGCAATTAGTTATTTTAAGTGTGTTTTCTCCCTGAACATCCTTGCTGGCATGAAGTATATCTTACTTTCCTTCATTTACCAAAGTGACATGAAAAATATTAAATAGCCTCTAAATATTTGTTCAGCAACCTAGGTGGTACATACAATTTCCTCTGAAAAACTAATATAAAAGTTGCCAATTCCAACCCGTTGAGTAGTGCTGCAGAATAAAGGCCTGGCAATATGCTTCAATAAGATTAAAGCCAAGGAGACTGTAAAAAGCACCTCTGCTTTACAAAACATGGGTTTATCATGAGTTGGAATCAACTCAACAGCAACACTGTTCTTTTGTTGTTTATTTTTTGTTTTTTTTAAATATTTGTTGAATAGCTATAAGTCAATTATTGATTTTCAATAAACAAATCATATTCTGAGTTTTTTTCAAGTGAATTTGCTGTATGCAACTTAAATGTTGTTGTTGCTAAGTGCCGTGGAGTCGGTTCCGACTCATAGCGACCCTGCACAGGGTTTCCGAGGCTGTAAATCTTTACAGGAGCAGAATGCCTCATCTTTCTCCCGCGGATCCGCTGGTAGTTTCAAACTGCTGACCTTACAGTTCACAGCCCAATTCGTAACTACTATGCTACCAGAGCTCCTTATACAACTTAAATGTGCTATTTCAAATAAAGGCTTCCCATTGCCATTCATTTTTTTTTTTCTGATCTATAGTGACCCTCTGTAATAGAATATAACTACCCCATAGTTGTTTGTTCCAATCCATATCAATTATAGCTTTGGCAACATTCAGCCTATAAATTACACTACAGAGAGAATTTCTGTTTTAATACTCTCTGTTTCAAAGATTAGTTTAGATAAAGCATTTTCTGGTCTTGAAAATAGTAAAGAAAATAGTTAGTTGTCCTATTTCAAACACAGAATTCATCTCAAGCTAGGTCTTTTGGGGAGAATAGATGGTACACATGAAGTCTTTTCATTTTCTCCCCTCCACAGTCTTCAAAGTAATTTTGATTTCTTAAATATACATGTAAAAGTATATTCACATAATAAGAAAAATGGATCATTTTATATTATTTCCATTTTTCTCCTTTACTCTGACTATAGGCTGACTGTAGACCTACCTAATAAGTGTATGAAAATAGAGAAAAGTTCACTATAAATTAATTGGAAATAAAAGTTTATTTTTATATAACTCAGTGTATTGTATATGAATAATTACTACAAAATTACATAAGGAGAAAACACTGCAAGCAACTGATCAGGTAAACTTAATTATTCACTAGCATTCAGTCAACAGTATTTAATCATTTCCTTGCTATAGCATCAGCCATATTGTTTGCACTGACTTGTTCATAAACTCACATAAATTTCATTTATAAAGACCTTAAGATTTTAAAATGAGGATCATGTCTTGTTGTCTTTGCATCATGTTGTCTAATACAGTGTTTGATATTTAATAGGAGCTCAAGAAATTTTTGAGTTAAGACTAACCTAAATAAAAATTATCTTTGTGTGCCATTGAATCAATTCATACTCAAAGTGAACCTACAGGCCAGTAACACTGTCATCAGAGTTTCCTCAGCTGCAATCTTTACAGGAAACTAAAACTGTATTAAATAGACATAAGATGATATACTGGACCATCATCTATTAACAATAGGGACAATATTGGATTTGATAATTTAGAATTACCCGTCTGTAAGGGATATCCTCTTTAAAACATATTATATAAGAGAATCATCCTTATTCCTTAAGTTTCTCTAAAAGGAGATAATGGACTCCTAGTGTGGTGTTGTAGGATCAGAACGGGACTGCGAACCACAAGTCCAGCTGTTCAAACCTACCAGTTGTTCCTCGGAAACTCTATCCAGGGTTGCTATGTTTCCGAACTGACTCAACGGCACTTAACAAAAACAGCAAATGGCCCTGAGAGCCCTGCTGTTGTGCCATAGAATAATGGTGCTCAAAAAGCCTGAAGACTCAATGAATGCTCTATAGTTCAGCAGCCGCCTTTCAGCAGCATGGCAGCTGGTTAAAGATGTAAATGGTATTAAAGCATGGAGCTTTAAGTTTGAGAAGCACAGGATCATTTATATATAGATGCTCGATTTTGTTCATAATTTATTTACATATTACCCAGGCTTCAATGTCTTAAAGATATCAAATTGTATGCTATTATTCATTTTGTGTTGTCGTTGTTAAGTGCTGTCGAGTAGGTTCCGCCTCATAGCGACCCTGTACAGGGTTTCCAAGGAGCAACAGGTGAGCTTGGACCACGAACCTTGCAGTTCAAACCGACTTTGCAGTCTAGCGCATTAACCCACAGGGCCACACCAGGACTTCATTTTAGTACTCATTTATTCCGTCAACATTGCTAATTAAGCACCCATGATTTGTCATGCACTGTGCTTACTGAGAAGAGCAAATTAAACATGGTCCAGGATTATTTTTCAGGTGACATACAAATTAAGAAGGACAACAACAAAATACAGGTAGAAAACATAAATAATAGATAAACAGATAAGGAAACAAACACTTTGAATAAAATTATTCTAAGTACTATGAAAGAATAAATAAGATAGAGAGAATAATTGGGAATGAAAAGTCTGGCTGATAACATCAGCAGGAAAAGACTCTTAAAGTAGGTAACCTTTATTCTAAGAGCTGAAGTATAAAAAAGAGCCAGAAGATAATTATGGACATTACTTACTCGTAAGTAGGTTTCATTTGTGACCAACCATATAGATTGTGAACATCATAGTGCAAAACTGATGAGCCATCACTAAGAATCTGTTCTGTTTCCATACACATAGTTCTGAAATGTAATCCTTCATATCTTTTTGTAAGTTCTGAGAGAATTAGTAAAAATATTAATATGTCATAAAGTACCCACTATTGAAATGTGCAGTTCCTAACTATATATTGTTTTTGCAAAGACAATTAACAGCTATTTTTAAATAATTCTTCATTTTTATCATTTGTATGTTTTGCCTGTGACAGTTATAAGTGATCGAAAAAACTAAGTTGCAATTATAACTAGTGAAAAAAATATTTTAAAAATTATTATATTATGTTCATTCATAAACATGTTACTAAGAAATATAAATTAATGAGAATTATAAAAATATGTACATTCATAAATGCCTACTCTTATGCATTTAGACAAACCTTCTCATTAGTTGATATCTAATAAAAAAAATCATTTGGTGTCTTAAACCCTTTTGGGTTCAGAGACAGATAAATGCCATCATCCAGTCTTTTCATGTCCATTTTTGAAGATGCCTTTTTATAGAACTATGCCATCACCTTAGATATTAATACAGTTCATAAAGTGTACTGTCTCTACCAGGGTATGAGTATGAGTGCTGAAGGACTTGCCCTTTTGCTCCTAGGTCTGGGATGGCAGAGGAATATTGTTACTATTCTTTCAGTTTATCTCAGCTTAAAAAATAAAACAAAATTTTTTTTAAGTTTTTTGTTTGTGTTCTTAATTGTAAAGAATGTTTAGAAATTCAAGTCTGGAAAGACAATTTAGAAAGTCCTTAGAAATAAATTTATATAGGTAAAACAAAGTTCTTGACTTTGCTTTTCAAAATAGTACTCAATAATATTGGCAATAGGTGTAGGTTATGTTTGAGTATTAGTGATATAAATTGGTATGTGAATCCTATAGCCTACATTCTTACATACATATGCTTAATCAGTAAATAATAATAGCATAGTAACATAAAAGGCATGACAATAACCTGGGAAATAAGGTGGATAATTTAACTTAGTATTTCTGCATTCATTACTAGTTGTTCCATTTACAAAACTTGATGGTTCATTCATATCCTTGAAAAGAGAGAGAAAAAAGATAAACATAAATCAATTTCAGAACATATATTTTAGAAAAACAAAAATTACAATTAATTCAGAGAACCAGTATATTAAGGCAGCATATTTGGATAATAGTATATTCAATTAAATAGTATATTTAACCACCCCCCTTAAAAAAAAGAAATTCATTGACTCTAAAGAATTCAGTCAAATGTAATGCTCTTTAACTTTTATACAATCAATGCTTCCTTTTGAGACACATAAAATATTGTATTTTTTCTGTGGTATGATTTTCCATATAAAAGTTGTTTTTATATTCCTCAAAGATAAAATGACATTGTAGTAAAGTAAGTTTTATATCCTTTGTTATATTGGCTACAGAATTTGTTGCTTATATATTTATGATCATCATAATTTTTTCCTAAAGAAATACATTTGAGACTACTTTTCCCTAGGTAACAGTGAGAAAAAAATAAAGTAAACATATGTCAGAAATTATGTAATTTCTTATACTTTACCAAATTACCTCCTTCCCATCCACCCCTGCCTATGACTGGTACTAATTACTTTTATTTTCTAAACTACAAGATCCAATTTATAAATACAGAACACTTCAAAGATGAGACCTGTTAAGTACTCATCTCAGAATCTCTCTGGCCCTATATAGAGAGACTAGCACTTGAATATATAAATTAGCTACCATTAACATAACGTCCTCTCAATGGCAATAGGCTTCCATTTTTGGATCCATATACCATTCTCGGGGACATACATAGTATAACCCCTTAAAGTACATCAACTTTTACATCAAAAATGTCTTAAATCTATGCATTATTCTGTTTTATATCCTCAAAGCTTTCACATAGGAACATTCAATGAATGGCTAATAAACAGACACATTTTTTTGTTAACTCTAGTCAAGCCTACCCCTAACTCATAACAACCCAATATGGTACAGAGTAAAACTCATACATATGGTTTTCTTGGCTGTAATTTTTATAAATTCTAAGCACAGGTCTTTTTTCCTCACAGTTCCGGGGTGAGTTCGAACAGTCTACCTCTCTGTTAGCAGCTGATCTCAAATGACTTCTACCACTCAGACTCTAAGTTTAAAAATCAACATAGTAACAATTCAACCTCCAATATCTAGAGATATATAATATCCTATGTTAAATAATTTCTTGTGAAGAAAACAAGTTTTTACATGTTATTTTAAAATAATTTTATCAAGAATCTCACAGAAAAAAATTTAAAATGACATCTAGAAGAAGGAAACTGAACTATATCTTGGATCATTTTTTTGTTTTTAATAGATTTTGTTTTCTTGTATGAAATATTGAACAATTGGCTGAGTGTAAGGATTAATTCTTACATTTAATGCAAATAAAATAAATATTTATAGGTATTTTTAAATAGCTAGTAAAAGAGGCTATTTGGTTCCTTAGTCAAGATACAAATGTTCAGGAAAGTAACGCCTATACACATAAATTACACTGTTATAAAATTTCTACAAGCCTTTGTGCCAGAAAGTTCTATGGGAAAAAATAATGGGCTAATTTTCACAAAGAATGCTTTGTCAGCATTATTGTCATCTAGTTTAAGTCCTGTATAATCACTACATAATACATAACATTAAAGACATGTTTCTTAGTGCTTACGTACAATCCACAAGCCATCAAATTTCATTTGGTCATTGTAGAAATCTATAATTTCCTTTGTCCACCACTCTGCTGTGGAATTCCTGAAGAAATCTGGAAAAGCCACATGAGCTCTGGAAGCCTGTAAAAAAAAAAAAAAAAAAAAAATCCAGACCCACATTTGAAAGTGATGAGAGTGGTTATATGTATCTATACTGGAACAATATCTGTTAGATTCAAAAGTATGCCCTAATATTGATGAAAGCAACTTTAATTACATGAATATATGTGATTTTTCTCCAGTCGCCGAGTTTCTGTGGGAAAGAAAAGAAATAAGATACATACATAGAGTGATGGAGAAGTTTTGTCTCTGTATTGGTAGAGTTCCTGTAGTGTAGGCTTACCTTGTGGGATCCTGGGTGTGGGAGGGGTGGTGGTAAACTTGTTTAGCCTACTTCTCTGATGGAAGTATGTCTACTCAGTGAACGAATGTAGTATCTTGCTATCTCCACAGGAACGAATCCTGTTGGTGCAGTGGTTAAAAGCTCAACTGCAAACTGCAAGGTTGGTGGTTAGAACTCACTATCCACTCCATGGGAAAAGGATGTGACCCATAGAGATTCACAGCACTGTGGGTTTCTGTGCTGGGCTGCAAGGTAGGTTTGAACTGCAAGGTCAGCTATTCAAGCTCACCAGCTGCTCCTTGGAAACCTTATACAGGGTTACTATGAGTGGGAGCTAACGTCAAGACACTTAACTACAACAATTCTGCCCTATAGGGTTCCTATTTGTAAATACAGACTCAATGACAACAAGTTTGGGAATTTTCTTTTATACCATTGCCACAAACTGTTTCGCTTTCCTTCTCACATCCAACCTCAGCAACCAAGAAGAGAAGAGGTGTTTTAATACCCTTATCCCAACTAAGATGATTCCTTACTTGCATAGAAATTCCAAGATCAGAGTCACTTATATATTAGCAGATTAACCTTATGTGACTGGAACAAATGCAATGCCTAAAAACATGGCATCACATGACTACTTGCCTTCAGGATTTTAAAACCAGACTACACAGTAACTTCCAGAACAGTCTCCATCATGAAGAGGATTTCATGTGTAATAAAGAAAACACAGAAATAGGGATATAGGAATTTACTAAACATATGTATCATGGATAGTTTTAGACTTAAAAGGACTTAATTTTATTATCATGCTAAGTAATTACATTTTACTTATAGGGAAAAAAAAAAGGCCTGGTGGCATTGCACTGAACAACTGCCTCTATGCTAGAATTCTCCTAGCTTACAGGAGAATTAATAACAAACATAACACCAGACTGTGTTTAATCTTCCACTCTTCTGCTCTTTCTATAATTTATTCCTAATTTTACTGTTTTAGGTGACTGCATTTATTTCTTTAATTCATATCATTGTTTTTATCCAGAAAATAGATCAGCTAATCAGCTTGAGGACTAAGGTGCACCTGACCCAAGCCATGGTATTTTCAATAACTTCATATGGCTGCAAAAGCTGGACAGTGAATAAGGAAGATCGTAGAAGAATTGATGCCTTTGAGTTGTGGTGTTGGAGGAGAATACTGAAAGTGCCAT